CTACTTTGGACATGCTCACCAACCAGCTGGGGCTATTCTCCCGCTGCAAGCCTGACCTGCTTCCTCTTTTCCCTGCTCCCCTTAACATTCCTTTCCTACTGGTGACCTCTGTTCCTTGAGGTTAACTCCAGTTTCTTTATCTACTCTAGCTTAATGGCCCCCAGTAGCCACAGAGCCACCTGCAGCTTCTCTGGTTATAGCATGGGGCCAATTGCCAGAGGCCAGCCTTAGGTAGCTGCAGCTACTAGTCAAGGGAGGGGTGGCAATTCCAAGGCTGAGCATGCTTGAACCTTGCAACAGCAGCACTAGGGACTCTAAATCCTCAGCGCTGGCCCTAGGCAGCTGCAGACTCTGCAGTTAGGCACTTCCCTCCTCTAGGCCATGGCTTTAAGTACCTGAGATGCCCATCACCTGCAGCAGAGGCCACCAATTCCCACGCACCCTCAAACTAGCACATAGTCATGCAGAAAGTGCAGCCTGAATGATTTTGGAGGCTGGGGTGCCAGGAGGTTCCCATCCCTGAGCAGCAGCTCTGCAACAAGCTGACATGCCCCCCACCTCTGCTGTGGGACCAGGACCCTGTGAAGACAGTGGAGTTACCCTGAGTATAACCAGTTCTGTCCAAAGCCTCTTGAATTGAGTGGGAGTCTTTTCATTGTTTTTAATGGGCTGCATATAGAAGCAAAGGACCCATTCTAGACTTAGGAGCAAAGTGCATTCTATACTGCACTGGTTTATTATTTGTAACAGGAAGGTCTCACATTACCTAGTGAATAAGCAATACCTCCTACAGCACCTAACTTTTTCTGAGAGGCTTCCCACCCAATTACTAAATGTAAACCTGCTTCGCTTACAAGGGCTGAAAATATCAGGTAGTATGGTTACAAACGCAAGGCACTTCTGAATTCAGTAAGACAGGGGTCGGCAACGTTTGGCACACGGCTCACCAGGTTAAGCACCCTGGCAGGCCGGGCCAGTTTATTTACCTGCTGACGCGGCAGGTTTGGCCGATCGCGGCCTCCACTGGCCGTGGTTCGCTGTCCCGGGCCAATGGGGCGCGGGAAGCCACGGCCAGCACATCCCTCGCCCGCGCTGCTTCTTGCCGCCCCCATTGGCCCAGGACGGCGAATCGCGGCCAGTGGGGGTCGCGATCGGCCAAGCCTGCCGTGTCAGCAGGTAAATAAACTGGCCCGGCCCACCAGGGTCCTTACCCTGGTGAGCCACATGCCAAACGTTGCCGACCTCTGCAGTAAGAATTTTGGATGTGCACAGAAAGGACTGGTTCCCGCATGGTTACAGAACTGCAGTAAAGTGGAACAATTTTCAGCTTGTGTGACTGGAGGATATCTGGATCCATATTCTAAGCCTATCCTACATAAATGAAGAAAAGTTGAGGTGCCTTTATTATTCTTTTGTTCCAATATTTGTCTCTATGGGGAATTTGCCAATGGAATATTACTGTCTTCCTTTTAAACAAACAAAACTAAAGAAAATAAATGGTAATGGCTGTTGAACATAGCAATTCCAGTCCTAGTTAGCACTGGGAAGACCCCAGCATTTGTTGCTCAATTTTATCCTACTTTTTCTACAGCAAATTACAGTGGATCAGTATATTTGATTTGGGAGAAATGACATAACAGCTGCCCAAATTGAGCTTGAGCACTCCTGAATTTTGAGAGTGTTGAAATCTGGAAGGCAGATGCTAGATTACCTTTCTGAATATTGGATAAATCTGGAAAGGAAAAGTCAATTTCTGCTTCCATGGCTCAGAAGTGGAAATCCTCCTGCATGCCTGGTACTGTACCTAAAGCTGCCCAGGTCCTCTAGTAGAGCCTCCCCTCCCTTACTTTTCATTTTAACTTCTTCTAGTGGGGTCCACATACCTCCCTTGCTAGCCTTCGGATAGAGAGGTGCACTGTCCATTCATTCCATCCAATTCCTTCTTTGGGGGCTGCCAGGCGAGGTTACACCACCATCCCTAATCCAGTCTGGGGAAGTCTTCTGAGGGTGATATCTTCTATTCCTTGGGCATACTTGTTCCCCATTCACACTGCCACTCCTTTCTAGCAGCCAGCTCTCCATTCACAGCAAGCTGCGATGCATGGGGGTCTCAGCTTCCCCACTCCCTCGCCCTCCCTTTCCTGTTGATAGCAGCCAAGGGAATGCTGGGAAATGTAGTTCCTTCCCTGCTCCAGGGCAGGCTCTCTAGGCTGGGAGCTGGCCAAGGAACTACAGCTCCTTGGGTTCTGAGCTCCCATGCTGGATCCTGCTGCTCGGTGGCTCCGCTTTTGCAGCACTGCGAGAGGGGAGGAAGTGAGTGTTATGGCCCCCTTCTGAGCTTGGGCCTGGCGCCATGGTAAATCCAGTACATGTTATGGCATGTAAAATTTAAAAGGTCGTAGAGGTAAATTTAAACCGACAGGTTCAGAGAAACATATAGTTCAGACAGAGACATCCCTTAGGGGACAATTTATTGAAGCGGATACTGTATATCAGGGGTCGGCAACCTTTCAGAAGTGGTGTGCCGAGTCTTCATGTATTCACTCTAATTTAAGGTTTCGCGTGCCGGTAATACATTTTAACGTTTTTAGAAGATCTCTTTCTATAAATCTATATTATATAACTAAAGTATTGTATGTAAAGTAAACAAAGTTTTCAAAATGTTTAAGAAGCGTCATTTAAAATTAAATTAAAATGCTGATCTTACGCCACCAGCCTGCTCAGCTCGCTGCCAGCCTGGGGTTCTGTTCACCTAGGCCGGCAGCGGGCTGATCAGGGCCTATGGCCGGGACCCCAGACCTGGGGGGGAGAGGTGTTTCAGGGGTCAGGGCAGAGGGCTGGGGGAGGGGGTTCAGAGCAGAAGGCTGGTGTGTGTGTGTGGGTGGGGGGGTTCAGAGATCGAGGGCAGGAGGGCGTGGGGGCTGGTGGGGGGTGCAGGGCAGAAGGCTGGGTGTGTGTTGGGTGTGGGGGTTCAGGGCAGAGGGCTGGGGTGTGTGGGGGTGCAGGGCAGAAGGCTGGGGTGCTCAGCTCGTGGGGGTGCTCCCAGCCCCCTGCCCTGAGCGGCTCATGGCAGGGGGCTGGAAGGGATATGTCCTGTTCCACCCCCTTCCCCCAGGCTCCATCCCTACCTCTCTCTGCCTCCTCTACGGAGCTGTGTGCACGCTGCCGCTCTTCCCCCTCCCCCTCGCTAGGGCCATCAGCTGATTGGCGCAGGGACGGAGAGGAGGAGGGGCAGGAAAGCACTACGCTGGGGGAAGAAGCGGGGGAGGAGGGAAGCTTGGCTGTCGCAGAACCAAGCTTCTGCCTCCTGCCCCCGCAGGAGAGAGCGGTGGGCGGTGGGCGGGCTGAGTGGGGCTGGGGGCCGGGATCACGGCAGGGAACTGCGTGCCACCCAAAATCGGCTCACGTGCCGTGTTTCGCACATGTGCCATAGGTTGCCAACCCCTGTCCTAGAGCCTAAGCCTGGGTGGTCAGAATAGAATATTGTACAGTACATGGAAAATCCACCACCAATTGAGAGACTTTATTGCTTACATTGTCACTCCATTTTGGCATCCCTGGCTAAAGAGATGCCCCTGACTGTATATACAGTAGGAGTTATGATATCTCTTGCAGTTACACATTGTGCTATGTGGAGAGATTAGATGCAGCATATGTAACAGATTAAAAGATCAGATAGCTGTTAGAGGTTTGCATGTCAGAAAACCAGCTTTGGCTGCTCATGTGTCATTCAAGTTCAGTGAAGAAGAATGGTTTGTTTCCCTTTTAAACAAGAGCAATATATGCCAGATAAAGGACATTCTCAGTTCCAGTCATGAATATTTAGTTTGTTAAAAAAACAAACCAACTATCTTCTTAAATATAAAAACTAAAAAGTTACTAGTCTGGTTTCAGAACAATTAGCTGTGGTTTCTACTAATTGAAAACCTATAAGAATAATCCAGAATAAAGCAATCCAAGTCTCACAAGGTATGTGCACCTCTAATAAAAACAGTGTGTGCATATGTAGAGAACAAGTTCTTGGGGAAACAGAAAATTCAACTAGTGCACACCCTTGTGGCTAATTAGTGAAGATAGAACATTAATCTGATAATTGTGCACACAAATGTTATTGCAGCTATCACATTTAAGTATCACACCATGAAAATAAAGCTTAGTCTATCTTCTAGCATTTATCCTATGTTCCTCTGTTCATATTTGTACATGATATATATAAAAGTCCAGTCTTTTCTAGTACATAGTTTTAGAGAGTTATTCGCAAAAAGCTTGTCTATTTTAATGATGAGCTGCAAATTCCTCTCGGTTTAGGTAGGGAGCATACTATCTAGAACAAAGGCAGGACAAATTATCTGGTATTTGTATTAGCATGCTTGACCTGAGTTCAAGGACAAATCCTACTCTTTTGGTTGTTCGGAATGCAGCCAATGTATAATCTTTTGTGGTATCGGTTATTTCTCTCTCTCCTTGGGGCCCAATTCCTCAACCCAAGGTGCCTATTTGACAAAAAGGGTACTAGTTACACCCAGTCCTCTCAGAGAGAGTGCAAGTGACACCAGGACACAACTTCACTCTGAGCAAGGCACTAAGAATGTGTCTGTGCTGAGGATTTCTCAGTTGCAGCAGTTTATGGCTGCCCACAAATGTAACTGCAGCAGAACAAATCCTTAGTGGGGATAGGCACAGCTGCTATAAACGGTAATTTGCATCAGTGCAGGTTGGCCTGGTTTCAAGCAGCTATAAGCAAATTGCATCTTGTAGTGCTTCTACCTAGTCTGCTCTGCCTGGTCTCCAATGGCTGCATCCCCAATGTAGCCCAGGCAATAACATGGTTCACCTGGATTGCTCACTTTTCCAATGTACTGTAGAAAACATGAATGTAGAAAAGCAGGAGTGGCCAGGACCAAATCCTTCCCTTGGGGCGCTCCCCTCCAAAAGCAGCTAAAACTAGGGAGAAAGTCAAAGCTGTATACGGCACTTGTAATGTGAGTATTTTCTCTTCCACAGGACCACAACAGATGTTGGTGCTGGGGTAGAGTTATCAGTCTTTGGGGAAGAGGTTCAAGGTACGTGAATATAAGTCAGTTATGATATGCCTGTCATCTATATAGTAAGGGTATACTGACAATGTGAAAGCAGGTATTAATTCAAATTGCATGGTGATGAGTGCAGTCTTAAAACCCGTGGCTGACAGACAGATGCATATGGGCATAAGGTGCCATTTTGTGCTCAGGTGTGTGTAACTGAGTGTCCATTACAGATTCATTCACTTAATTTTTCTAATTTATTTCTAAGGTGGTAAAGTATCTAGTATGTATGTGCTCCCTATTCATTTTACTGCCGAACTGAAGTTCTTGGTGGCGTGGGACCATACAGTGAATTTCCAATAATGTGTGTCAATAAGAACATTTATTCCAGACCTGAAGAACTTTTGTGGAGACAGCAAAATTAATGCTGTGTGTTCAGCACAATTAGACATGGTCCACAGCAACAGTGTTTGTGCACACATCTGAGTCAGCTGATCATTCCATTTCATACACCTCGGCTTTACATCAGCTATAATTATATTGCCTGAATTTTGGGACTGCATTCTCATTATCCACTGGTATCGCACACGCATACTATCTGTCTTCCTGCACCTGCTTCTGCTGATACTATCAGCTGTCACTACATTTGTCCTAGGCATAATAGAGATTCTGCACACCTGAGTTGGTTGCTATGTTTATGGGTAATCAGCTGTCTGTTGAGTCTCCAGGAGCCAAAAATGAATGTGCTTACCACACAAATGAACACGGCCTCATCCTTGTGTGAGACATTCATTGTCACTGAAAACATACCCACTGGTATTTCTGTTCACTTTGCAGTCCCATGTGGATTTGATGGGTGTATAGAGTTCAGTTGATAGTGTCTTGTTTTGGAGTACTTTTTGAAGCATATTTTTTCTTTGTGCACCTTTTTCACTCTAAAGGGGAGACTCAGATCAGAAACTTGTAGATTGCTATTGTGTCCTCCCTAGCCATTGCTTAAGCAATCTACCATATCCCAATCAGAAAAGTAACGGAAACGGAACCACATGTGACAGATGCTCACCACAGTGATTCATACATCTTGAAGGCACTCCGATACCACAGTGATAGGCTTTGGTATAAGAACCTGAAGACAATTGAATATTTAGCTCTTTTAATCAAACTGTGTTAATCAAATTTCATTAATGTGGTGTGTTTACCCCTTTTCCAGATTGCTAATGAAGATGTTAAATAAGATGGGACATAATAGTAATGGTACCCCATTAGACAACTCCCACTAGCTAGATATATTGCTGTAATGTGTGCTAATATGTGTTATTTGTCCTTCAGTCCGTTTTCAGTAAGTTTTATAGTTGTCATATCCAAGTTGATTTCAATTAATTTTGAGTAAGGAGCCTCTCTATCAAATGTCTAACTAAAATTGATTTCCTCTACTACAGTCCCATCATCTGCTAATTTTGCAGCACTATTAAAAAAGCAATCATCATGTTTATCTGATGTCCTTTATAAGACCATGCTGCTTATTGCTCATAGTTCCATTTTTCTACAATTGTGTTGATTTTTTATCTTAATATACTAGAGACAGCAGCTAGATTTATTTTAATTTTATTTCACTTTATTATTTACACTTTATCAATCGCTGTTATTACAAGGTCTCCATCACTTCAGAATTGTTTAAATTGCTCATTTTTAAAAAACAGTATCTTGGTCATTTTTGAGTCAGCATTAATGTGATGCCTTATCTTGTGTATTAATGGGCCTATTTTTTCTTTAGTATGATTCCCCGATTTATTTGCAAAAGCCCTTCTTATTATTCCCAATTCCTTTAGCTAGCATTAACTCATTAAACCTTTTTATTCCTCTTTTCTCTACAAACCATTACTGATCATGTATTCTTGTTTGCATGTCTCCCCTCATCTAAGTACAGTACTGAATACTTTTTAACCTGTTATTTGAGCATTTCCTTGTGAAGTCACATCACGCATGTTCCTTCTTCCTGCTATTCTTTTTAGTACTGTGTTTTCCATTTCTTCTGAGGTCTTGTAGAATTTCTCCATCTTCTTCCACAGTGGTATAAACAACAGATGCATTAAATTCTAAACAACACTACAAAAGAAAAAGTGGTGTCCCTCAGGCATTTCTCCTTTTGTGGTTGCCAAGTGGGTTGCTGGTAGCTTTACAGCAGGGAAACACTAGGTTTGTAAAATAGACCTGTTATGGTCCTTGAGTGCACAGCATTCAGGAAGCCAGGGTGAGTAACTGAACGATCTCTATTTCTATCTAACTGGCTAGCCTAGGACATTCATGCAGCTCCCCTGGGGTCCAATCTACACAGTGGTTCTAGGAAGTCACAACTAACACCACAGAAAGTCATTGTGGTCAAACTCACATTTTCAAATCTGAATGAATATTTGTGAAAAACTTTTCACACTATTCGCTCAGCTCTAGTCCCTTCTCTTCTGTTTCAGAACAACACCATTTTCTCTCTTCCTTTGCATGTTAGAAGTACGGTGTTTGCAAGATTATTTGAGTTAAGCGAAAGGGGATACCCTGTCCTAATTAAATATGTCTCATGTGTCCTGTTGGTTCTGAACCCAAGAGGCTGGCACTTCATCTGAAGACAATAAAAAGGTTCCTGTTCAACTTCAATGGGCATTGGAACAGACCCTAGCAGACTGACCCAGATAAGAGAAGGTACAATGGAAAATCCAGCAGAGGGAGTCATTTTAAAAAGAAAAGTTATTAACAAACTTCTTATGGGAATTGTGAAATAAGTGAGTCTTTAGGAGTTTATTTGAATGTGAATGGGTAGGGCATTTGGTCAACTGGAATTCACTAATATTTGAGATGTGTTTGAAATATTTTTCTTTTAAAAATGAAAACTGTAAAAAACATATTCCTATAAGAGAGCAAAGGACAGTTTGTTGCAGATACAGGTTCTAAACCACTCAGGACTAGATTCTCTTCTGTGCAGACATCTGATAGGTGTGGGGGGTTAGTGGGTGGGGGACTTGAGGATTGGAGTGCCATCAGGGAGCCAGTTCTGGCATCTTGATTCTGGTACCACAGCTGCTCTGACTCCAATGTATCTTAAAGGAACATACACCAGTTGAGGATTCATGGAACTCAGATGTATTCCACCCCACCCCGATCATGCTCCCTCCCTCCCATGACATGTCCTCTATGGGTGGGTGGCTGGTCTCCACTACCTCTTCATGATAGCTAAGAGTTGTCTCACCAAGTGGATTCTCAGCTGAGCAGCTGAGGCCCTTTGCACTACTAAGGCATAGGTGTAGTTTGACTTCTATATTTGGGGGGCGGCAGTTACGTCAGGCCAACGGGCTACACATGGAGGAGGCAAATTCCACACCTGCCCAAGGCTTGTAGTTTGGGGGGACAACACTCCCCCTGCTCCCCTCCATCAAAGTACACCCATGTGGTGGAGCAGAGGAGTTAGGCACAGCAGAGAAAACCTGGTGTGACAGGGGCCCTGTGTCGAGGTAGGGTGCCCCTGTCGGCCCAGTGTGGGGTTGGTGCACCTCATCACCCCGTCATTGGGATCCCCCGCATTAACCGGGTGATTTCGGCCAAGTGGGTCCTGGCCCCCTGACTGTCACTTAGACAAATAGTCCGTAGTCTCTGGGCAGGCAAAACAAATAGTTGGTAGCCCTGTAGCCTCTTGGCTGGGGCAAAATGAACAACCAGTCTAGAGCCCTGCAGTCTCCAGGCTGGGGCAAGTGGCAACATTCTGAGAATTAGCCCCCTGGGAGGGCAAAGTAGCGATCAGGCTGCAGTCCCTGGGCAGGGCAAAGCAAACAAACAGTCTGTGGCCCTGCAGTTAGCTACATCAGTCCATACTTCAATCACTTCCATACTTCAATCACTTCCTTACATCTCCTGGCTAGGGCAGGAAGTTGCCCTCGGTGAAATTAGCCCTCTGGGTAGGGAAAAATATCAATCAGTCCATGGTCCCTGGCAAAGCAAACAAACAGTCTATAGGCCTTACTATCCTCTTGGCTGAGACATAGAACAGGCAGCAGCTTCCGCAGCGGGCGGTGACTTGGCTTCCCAGGCAGTCTCTGCAGTTGGCGAGTCACCTGGAGCATAGTTTGGGTCTTTGGGCTCTACTGCCAGGCGAGTCGCAGGAACCAGCAGGGTACGTCCTTCCTCCTCCGTCGCCCATCCCGACTGAGCTGGGCTGCCTCCTTTTATCTGGCTTCTCCACCTGGACAGGGCTGGTGTTTCCACTAGGCGATCCTAGGCGGTCGCCTAGGGCGGCAGGATTTGGAGGGCGGCATTTTGCCGTCCTCGGCAGAAATTCGGCAGCAGGGGGTCCTTCCTCTCCGGATCTTCGGCAGAAATTCAGTGGCGGGTCCTTCACTCACTCCGGGACCCACCGCCGAAGTGCCCCGAAGACGTGGAGTGGAAGGACCCCCGCCGCCGAATGCTCAGAGGAGGAGCGCTGCCGCCTAAGGCAGCAAAAACCCTGGCGCAACTACTGCACCTGGATCATGCGCAGCAGGAGAAAGGGGGCATGGCCACCTGGGCCCACAGTGATTGGTCCACCCCCGGTGGCCCAGTGCAGGGCTGGTACATCCCGTCCCACCTGGCTACAGATATTCCGTTTCAAAAGCAATAATTAAGATAACTAGAAAATTAGAAAATAATCCAAATCCAGGGAGCCAGGAGACATGCAACAGTAGAGGGGTTCCATCTTGTACATGGTTTCACTGTTTGAACTTGTTAATGTACTGTTTGTTTGTTTGTTTGTTTGTTTGTTTGTAGGTTCTATTGTTACTTGTGTGTTAATGTGGTAATGGCAGTTGACTTGCGTGGCAATAGGTGAATGTTGTACTTGTTTATAAATACAGCTTTTTATTTTATCAAGAGAGTTTAGTGCTGTCACTACATCACATCATACAATGTGTATTGAAAATAAAGGTAAACACATGATCAGGGACAATTAGGAATTAGTATGCAAACACTATTCCTCAATACAGTTAGCTACATCAGTCCATACTTCAATCACTTCCTTACAT